ATATTTTAAATATTAAAAAAAATAGATCATAACTAAATTTATGCTATTTTTAAGCTAAAATTGTTACACGAACTCTATAGCTTAAGGGATATGTACAAGGCTATAATAAATAATGGGTTATTTAATAATTATTTGTATTTGGCACTATGTTAATTCAACACAAAAAATTGCTTTAAAATAATACTGATATATTATTATTATTCTGTTTTGGGGCTATTTCTCTATTTTTAGTTGGTTTGTATAAATAATACAGTAATAATTCATAAATAAATTGAGGCTGTAAGACATAAACAAACATATATGCATTACTGCTAAATTTCTTTTAACAGGGTAAAATCTAAAAATAAATTACGTTATATTTATATGTTATATCAATATGTTATGAGTTAACACCTCCACAGCCCTACGAGATATTTGGGTTTATATAAATCACGCCACTTCAATAATGGCTTACTTGCAAATGACTTCAAAGAAGCAAAATATGCGTAAATCGGTACATATAAATTATTTGTAATACAAATCATAAAATTAGTATGTGGTTTGTAACACTTCTCTGCAGAATTAATTCTCACAGTCAATTTTTTTATTAACAATATATTTGAATAATGCGAATACTGTCTAGGCTTATAAGACAACTTTTATCTAATTGGCTGATATAAATTAATTGCCCAGGTAACTTATTTATATACTTTAAAGTACTTTTTGGAAATATAACGTTTTACTAACAAAAAATCTGTTGTAAAAGCAAATTATAGCTCTAAATGAATGTAGATATTCACTGTTAAAATTAATTCAAAATAATCCACCTTTTCAAGAACTTCACTTAGAAGCAAATATTTTTACTATATACTGCTAATACTGGCTATATTAACTATATATAAGTTTTAAATACCAAAAATGGTCAATAAAAAAAGAAGATTAAGACATTATATATAAGCTTTAAATTTAGAACTTTGAGTATACTTTTTAATGTGATATATATTATAATAATATTAATGTTTACAGTATATTTTATGTTTATAGAGCTATACTTTGGGTTAAATAACAAATTGATAATATGTATAAGTGTTATAAGTAGTTATTGTTTCATTAATTATATGGGCTAAAGGTTATGTCACATTTTTAATAAAGGTTGTGATAACTAAAAATAAAATATAATTACTTTTCAAAATATATAGTAGAATAAAAGATAGCTTTGTTAATAATTTATTCACATATTGAAATTTTAATCAATTTGAAGCTTGGGTTTATTAGTAATATATATCAATTTATACATTATTTATTTTTAAAATGTAACAAATTCTTTTTTTATATGTATTTATTAGTTTGTAAGCTTTTTTATGTAAAGTTCTTTTCATTTTCAAAATGATAAATCTTTTTAAAAACTATGTATTTTGATTGGCTAATTATCATGGGAATTCATAGATAAATCTACAAAAATTAACTAATCATATAAATGTCATCCTATGATATTTAGGCCCTTTTCCTTACTTTATATGATCTTATAATAATAATGAGACTTTAAAAGGTTATAAGGATAACAAGTATAATGTTCTTAATCAGTAGTTAGATCAAAATTCATATGTTGCAGGAACTTGGAATCTCTACCATTTCTCGAAATTGTCAGATTTAAATCTTCCTTAAGCGATCATCGAATCTAAGGAGTTAATTTTACTAGAAAAATAACAAAATAGATTCAGTATTTGGAACTTATAGCTAAATATACTTGTTTTACACAGCAGGATCTGGTATTGTATTAGATAATATAATTATAAGTTTCTTCTAGCAAGCTTTCAAATTTATAAATGAAACTAGTATAAAATAAGCAAATTTCTATTTGTAAGGTAGGCAATATATTGTTTTATCTGTAAATTTTTTCAGAAAAAAGCTTTAATAGAAAAACAAATTAGGATTGCAGTTGGTAATTAATTCTTTTATTTGTTTTATGCTCTTTGAGTAAGATATGAATAACATTAATACTTTTATGCAGTTGGACTGAATGAAGTTAAACAGAATGAGCAGAATAGATTTTCTCTTTTTATTTATGATGGGAATAATAGTCTTTTTGTTAGCAGAAGTCTGAAAAAAGAAATAGAAGATTCTACTGAGTTGTAAGTTACTATACATAATTTTTCACGAAGATTTTTGCTTTTCATACTTAGAGTTACAAAGTGTTTTTATATTTTTTATCGCTTTAATTATAGGTCAATTCAAAGAGAAAATCAAACTGGTCAATATTTAGAAATCAATAATAATAGAATTAATCTTGATAATATTCTTGCAAACTTAGAAGTTTTATATCAACAAACAGTAGATGGTATACAATTAAGAATCAAGTATATTAGTACTAGACCAGAAACTTTTTAAGAAGATACAGATACTAGAAGAAAAATAAAAAAATAAGATTTTTTTTTATTACATTTGTGTATATAACTGCAATATGGTTTTTTAGCCATGCTAGCACTATGGTGCTAATATTTTTTTATTTGTATTTTATGTTGTTGTTCTGGCAATAATAATTTTTATAAATAAAGAAGGAGGTTCTGTGATAGTGTTTCAAGCTGATCAAGTTAGCCACTTAGCCAGCCACTTAGCCGCTTAGCTTGCTGATAGTCTAATCAGCCGGCTAATAATGGCTAATAATATTAATTATAAAATTCAAAGTTTTATATAACTAAAATTTATATCATTATATATCAAATTAAAATTTTACATTAGATCAAAATAATTATAATGCCAGCTACTAATAAACTACTGACATAAGGTTTTATTCTCATTTTAATTAAACTCAGATTTAAAATTTTAATTTGACAAAAATTTCAATTTAATGTATAATATTTATAAACTTTGGTAACAAATCTTTATTTAATTAAATACTTATTTGTTATTTAAAATTCTATAGTATAAAAATAGTCAGAATATTTAAAGTAAACCTGAACCTAAAAAGCTACTTATTTTAAATGAAGTACTATATAAACATACTATAATATAGTATAATATAAAATTATAGGCTAAGCTACTAAGCTATTAAAAATATAATAGCTTAGCCTAGCCGTAAAAATTTAATCAGCTTGGTTCACTATCTCATGCCTCACCATTTTTTTATTTTTTTATATGATTGTGTGAACAAGTGTTATACTGTTATTTAGATTTTATTAATATTAAACTGTGATTTATTCGCCTTCTCGCAGTAACTGCTCGAAGCCAGAAAAAAGGGCTTTTCTATATTCAAATTTGCTTATTTAAGCCTGCAAAGCAATTAATAACTTCTTTTGATCGATACAAAAAGGGCAATTAAAAAAATAGTGATTATTTTTACCTAGACAGCTCTAGTCACCTTATATACCTAAACGAGTATATACTTCTTTGCATATTAGACATTTAGTTTCTGAATCAGTATATTTAAAAACATCTTGGTTCTATATATTTGATTTAATATATCTCAAGAAAGGAAATTTTTTCTGTACTACTTCAATAATCATATTTTTTTCTTCCAGAAATTTAAAAATTTTGATTATATATAAAAGATAATTATCAGCATTTTTGCTTTGTGGGGATTCAGAAGTTTCAGAGTTTATTTAGGGATTGAGTTTAGTCTCTTCTGTATACGCTCTATATAAGCTTAACCAAATTTTATCTGTCAAATAACTTGGTAAATCAACCAATTTAGTATGCCAGTTCAAATATTCAGGGGTTAAAACACAAAGTATCATTTTTCTGAAATAGGCTTTATCCTTTATATGATTGCAAATTCAAATTGTATCTTTGTTTCACTTATATAACAAAGATACTTACATACTAACACTCTGTGCATATTCCAAAATAGTAATTAGCAAAGCAAGTACCAAAGGTGCTAAAAAAAATAAATATAGTATATATATCTGTCTGCTTCTGATATTTTTTTCTGGCTTCGAGTAGTTACTGTGAGAAGACAAGATTTATACTATTATCTCAATTTCATGCTTTCCACATTTAATAAAATAAGATTCAGTTCTATATCTACCTTTTATACTTTTTTATTTTTATGATATAGCTTGCATGCTAGACATAATACCTTATCAATAATTCCATAATAATCAAAATTTTCACTACTAAATTCTCTATATATATCAGAATATCAATCTAATATTTTATTACGAAAATAAGCATGATCATGGATTTGTATACTTATCTGAAGTGTAGATGAGATCTTAGTTTTTGGTGAGATATTATTAGCTGATACACTTTCAAATGAAGTCTCTTCGGGATGAGATACTATAAGTGTACTTATCTTAGTTTCTGGTAAAAAGTTATAAGATGATGGAGATGATAAGATAGGAGTTGTGGTTGATTCACTTACTTCTGATCGTGAAGAATTCTTCATGGTTTTTAAAATCACATAATCTATAATATTTTGAATTTGTTGATAACTAAAACTTGAAATAGCATCTGCATTATAAAAAACTAGTTTAATTTTCTCTATTTCTAGTGTATTAAATAGTTTATATAATTTTCTAGCTCTAAGGATTTTTTAATGTAAATTCATGTCAGTTATATTAGGTAGAAGTTGTTTAATTTCTCAATATATTATAGATGTTGCAGTTTTTCTTTTATCTCCACTAATAACAATTTCATCGATTTTTTTGTCATATTTTTCGATAAAACAATACCAGTAAAGTATTCCTTTTTGTTCTGATTGAATTGCTTTATAGAATGCATAAACTATGCTTTCCGCTATAACTGAAGATGAGTCTTGATCCTAAAGCCAATTTGAAATTATAGGAGTAGGTATAGATGTTGACAGTTGTTGTTTTAATTCCTGTTCTATAATTAGATTTTTATTCAACTTGATAATAACCTCATTACTAAAGTTATTAAGCATAGTCAATTCTGAATTCTAATCATGGTTTGATGGATATATTTCAAGATCACCTGGTAACTTGGATGTATTAACTGAAGATAAGTCTTCAATTTGAGAAGTAGAAGTATTGTTAATCTATAATAGCTTTTTTCCCTAATTTCTCTCTCTTATTCCAGTGCTAATAGTTTTTTTATATACCTCATCCAAAAATTCGATCTCTTTATTTTTAGAAGATTCAGACTCTGTATGAATAAGTGGTTCAGAGTATTGAATATTCGACTCTTGATCTATATTAGAATAAGAAGTATTGTCAGATATATTTTCTATCTGTTTAGGGGTATTATCAGAATTCATTTTGTAAAATGCAGTATCATCTAATTTAGCAATAAAATTGCCTTTTCTTTGTCATTTTGTAATAACATTTGTTTCAATTTTAAAACCCTGAATTTAAGTTTGGTATTCTCGTTTATAAGGTGTACAATATCTGTTTTATTTCTCCTATCTTGTTCCTCGAATCAAGTTTTAAATTCAGTATTCTCTTCTATAATCTGCTTTAATTCTATATTCTCAGCTTCAACCTTAGCATACTTTTTTCTAAGTTCGGCAATCTTGAATGTAAGTTTAGAATTTAATTCTCTTAATGAAGCAATTATAGTTTGTGAATCTGCCATTGTTTTTATTTAAGATATGGATATATTCAAAATAAAAATATTATGCCTATTCCAATTTATAACAACTCTTGATTATATGTGAGTTAATATACATTGATAACAATACAATAAATAAATCCACAAAATATACATGCAAAAGTAAACATGGTTATGTATACGAAATCAGCCACCGGAGCCAAGCTTTATTGATATAAAAAATAATAATAAAATACAGGATAAAATACAGAACACAGAAATTTGCACATTTAAACAAATTGTATTACAAGTTAATTGGCTAATATTGGTTTAGAACACTTTATTATTCACAAAACTAGTATTACCAATAAATCAGATTCGTTAATGGTTTATTATTATATGCATCACTAAAAAAATTACAGGAAATGAAAAGTAGAAACAAAAATAATAGCTATGTAAGGAATGGCAAAAGTAGAAATGCATATGACAGAATGTACATGATGGAATATATATGACAAAATTAATGATTAAGTAAGGGTGTATTACGAAGATTGATGATTTATAAGATCATGATAAAAAAGAAAATCATATTTTCTTTTTTGGAGTGAGTCTAACGTGATATTAAGAATAACTTGGAGGAGGTGAGATATATCTGTCAAGATTAGTGCTCCGAATGGTCAGGTCAGGTTAAAAATTTTCGAGTTAGAGCTTCAACCCGAACTGAACCCGACCTGAAATTTTAGGGCTAATATATTAAATTTTTTTTAAAAATGAATTCAAATAGCCTTTTTGCTCTTAAACGTTTAATAATTCATGTAACGATAATCAACGAAGTTGGCTAATCAAATCTAAGTGCGGTATGCTTATAAACTCATCAGGCTACTACAGTAAGAATCGTGTATTGCATATTCAGAATCAATGAAAGTTTTTTTATTATTATCCTATGGATTCATAGAATTAATATAAAAAACTTTACTGATTTGCTGTTAAGAAATTATTGTTCAAAGTTAAAGAATTTAGGCGATTATTAAAACAAAGTCAGCAGTTAAGTTTCTCCAAACTTTGATCGATTAGATAAGGTATAGTATAACCTGTCAAAACCGATCCTGTTAAAATTGATAACCTGTCTAAATCGATGAAAAATTGATTCACCATGCCTGTTTCTAATATAATTTTAACCTCTTAAACCTGATAACCTTTTAAAGCTGATGAAAAATTTGTCTATGATGCATACCAGGTTTGACAAAGTATACTGTAATTGCTGAGATATTTTCATTAAAGGGTCGAAAAAAGTATATAATATTATTACTAGGGATTTTTAATTTCATTAGCTTGAGATGTCAACAAATATGCACCAATCAGATCTCTTTGATGAATCAAAATAATTTCAATACGTGTAATATTTTAAAGTAAAAAATATATGTTAAAGTTAAATTAGGAATTAGAATTTTTTATATTAGAGCGCAGAACGTGGTTTCATAGTCGAAATTTCAAGTTATGCATTAACAGTTTTTTAAAAATTGTGATTTTACATTGTACTCACAGCAGATTCTCGATTTTGATTGGCTAAGAGCTATGAGCAAAAAATTTGGACGAAATTACTCGGAATTCTACTAATGTAACTACAGAGTCTATTAAGTGAAAGTTGTTTCTAGATTAATTTTACCATGAAATTTCTATTTTTGTAATGAAAAAAAATCAAAAGTTAATTACAGCCAGAAATTAGTAAACAATTATGTAAAGTTGGACAAAATTTGCAGATCTGCGGCCATTAACCAATCAAAAACCGAGTGACAATTTTGTGTCGATCATTTGAAGAAATCTGATTGGTACATACTTGACTGTTTTATTAATGATATTATAATTTTGCTTGTCTCATTTGCCATATATAATCATGCGATATGGATATTTGCGAGTAGATTGTAACAGTTTTTGCCATGTACGAATTAGATTATAACAACTTTCTATCGTATATAGTTAGATTGTAACAACTTTCTATCGTATATGGATTAGATTAATTGGATCTACATCCAGAACTTCCTTGTAATTCTGAGAAAGGAAATTTTCATTCCAAGAAAGTCAATTTTCATCCATCATTTTTATAAAACAAGTTCAATATCAATTGCTATTGCTATTGCAATTGCAATTGATATTGAACTTGCAATTGATATTGAAATTTCATAATAATTTTTATTAGACACTGACACAATAGTAAACTGTTGTCAAAAAAGCTTCAAATATCTATTTCTTTCATGTTTTGCTCAGAACAATTAACCCAATTCCAAATTTTACTCAATTTTTTTTTTTTTCTGTCAAAAATTTTACAGAACAGATGAATTGATAATCACTGATTGTCAAAGTTCATAACGAAAGACTATAGTGAAAGAATTGACGACTATTTCCAAATGCATAAAATAATGGTGTGATTTAACCTGCTTAAGAACATAATTCTTATTTTAAGAAGTTAATGTAATGAAAAACTGCTGATTTATAAATAATTAACTAACCGGAAGATTAAGGTTAAATATTGCATCGATCATTTGATTTTTTTTTTACTTATCGGGATTGATATGCTTCCCAATATATATATAAAAATCATAGCCTGTTATGAGTTTTTTCTACATTTTTACTAGAAATGGTAAAAAATCATTTTCACCGATTTAAAACATGTGATAATTATGATCCGAATATATTAAATTTATATCTCAGCATATCCAGATTATAATCATCGTATGATTTAAATCTGTGAAATTACCATTCCTAATTTTACTAATATTTGACAAGTTTGATAAAACTCTTATACTGCTATATATATCATACGTCAGAATAGAATTATTGTAATAGAATAAAAAATTCCAAAGTGTATTCCAAATTATTCATCTAGTAATTATTCATAACACAATGCATTGCAAATTAATTAAATTTAAAAGAATGATCTAAAGCTTTATATCTATAATTAGTAGGTTAGTTCTACTATTCCTACATTTTTATAGCTATTTTTGTTCCATACATTTTTGCAATTACATTTAATATTACCTACTTGAAAGAGGATTGCATAATAGATGCTTATAAGCATTGAAAGAATACTATTCAACTCTGAAATTTATTGGGACACAATGAACACAAATAGGATTGAGTCAAATTTAACAAGTTGCATTTAAGACCACATATTTTTTGCTAAATAATGATCTTTTGTATCCTAATATTGTATTTGTTGAATCTTGTAAAATATTAATACAAAAACAATTTATTGACACTAAAACATTTGAAAGCAATTCTTTGAATACATTACAGGTAAAAATAGATAGTCTTGATGTTCGATCATCAGATAAAGAATGAAATGGAAATAAAAAAAGGATTTGTATTTTATCTAAACAATATATCATGATTTATTTATCACAATATCAAATTTAAAATCAACTTAAGTTATTGTATAGTTCCAAAACTAAGCACCTTTTTTTGTTATAAGAGGTGTTTATTTTTTTCAGATATAATTTAAAGAATAAATAATAGGATTTTTGTACTAAGTAAACTTACCTTCTGTTTCTAAGTAAAACCATTCCCAGGTCAAGACAATTCTAACGGCAGCAAAATCATCAAAATTTGTCCAGTAGAACTTTCGCAATTCTCTTCAAAATTTAGGCGACATTTGTTTACATTTGCTTTACATGATCTGCATACTCGTAAACCAAGTTGCCCAAACTTTGAAGAGCAATCGTGAGAATTCTACTGAACCAATTTTGATGATTTTATTGTCAGTAGGATCGTCTTGATTTGAAGAATAACTTTACTTAAAAATAGAAATGAGCTTGCTTGGTAAAAAATCAGATACAATTATACTTATTTTCAGATATTACATAAAATTTAATGGTGCTTAATTTAAATGATGATTATCAGTCTGCTATTCTATATGTAGCTTTAAGATTCATATCGAAGACATATTTAAGTATGAATAATTCATGATCTAGTGGTCACCTATGAATTATTCACAGGTGTCATGTAATAGTAATGCTGTTAGAATATAAAAACAACCAGTTACATATTAGCTATGACATTTACAGTCTCTTGTGTGATAATATTATAACAATAACTCAATTATCATCTATTTATGTTTTTTAAAATCGATTTTCGCGTATGCAAGTTATATTAGCTGTTAGTGAACCACGTACATACGTCCGTTACTGTATATCAACTGGAATAGTAACTTTTAACACAAATTCATAATGAAAATCAACGATAATTCAATATAAACCAATTATATAGTATGAATCACTAACAGAATTCTTACAATAACTCACGATAGAAAATCGGGCGGCAAAGTTGCCCACATGTGCTAATCTAGTTTAAAATATTATTTAAAAATACATATGCACTTGGCTATTAGAACCAAAAAAAAATATAAAATGCTAATTTCGCGTATCTATAAATTGGATAATTTTCAGGTCAGATATTTCTAACCCAAACCCGACCCGACCCAAAATTTCAGGTTGACCTGACCTGATTTGGAGCACTAGTCAAGATGATAGGGTACTGAGATTTTTTTGGTTCGTTTTTAACATATTTCGATCCTTTCGCTTCATTTATAGTGAACTCAGTAAAATTAAAGCGGGGGGAGACCACAATGCCGATCATACCGGGCTCTTCATCGCATATCACACCTTTCAACTCACGAACAACAGAAGGTTCTACATTACTTTCAATTAGTAAATTCTTTAAATAAAACATGAT